GCTGTCCTGGAGTTTCAGCTTCAGAGGTTCAGCTCTGTGACTCTGACTGTTGTTGTGCGCATGTGCTGAACAGCTGGGTGCTGTATGTCATATACAGATTTATGGTGGACACCGTGTTATGGCTCAGCCCTGCTGTCTACGTCACAGTTCATATGAGTAAAAACTGTGTTGGAGGAGTTCAGGGAGGTCACGGGGGGGGGCTTTGTCACAGCGTGTGTGGACGATATGAGCACGATAAACCTGCAGTGATGATGACGTCAACAGTAGTGACCAGGGTCTACGCTGACCGATGACGTGCTTCTTTAGCCTGTACTTTAATGATGACGTCAGTGGCTGTTTCCGTCACAGTCGTGGTGCGCAGCCGCAGAGACAAAGTTACAAACGTATAAGTAACTTTTACACTCACAGCGCGCTGTGGCCGGTGCATCACCCCTGCCGCGAGCGCAGAGACAGCCCGGTCCCTGAACCTGCTGTTACCGGATGAAAACAGGAAGTGTAAAGACGTAACGAGCACGCGCTCACACACGCGCCTATCGTTGGGTTACCTTAAACAGCTACGTGCACACCTGCAGGCCTTCATGCGGTCACCACGTCACAGCTGGCGTGAACTTTTTGGCTTATTTCCCTGCGAGGTATGCGGTTTCCATGGAAACCGTGCGTCGGCTAAATTGCTCCGCGGCTACAGCGATGACATGGTTCCTGTTTACTGCTGTGGGTTCAAGACTGTGCGATGTTGTGTTTGGTATGAGATGACAGATGAGGACAGTGCAGCACGGACTTCGTGTTCTTCTACAAGCGACAGCTCGGAAGTCCCATTACAATAATACATATAACAGTCATGTGATCGGTGCTCAGCATCACGGAGCGCCACCCTGACAGAGTTCTGATGGAGCAACTGATTTCCAATGTTTCTGTGTATTTTTTATGTGTAATATCTTTACGTATGTTCGTAAACAGACTTCGGTGAACACGGTTTACAAAGGGGTTATATATAGAATTAAAAGATATCTGTGTTTCAAGTATCTTTACAACTCTGTGTTATTGTACTTACATTATAACCAATCCGGTCCTTTATCCCCACTTAAACTATTTTTACTGAACTATCGTAATATTTGCTGCCGTTTCTGCTGTCCCGTTGGGCAGCTTACTCTTACAAAAGACATTTTTGATGTTAATGAGATTTTTTTAACTGCATAAATAAAGGTCACGTAAAAGTCACTGCCAAAAACTGATCGTGGCTTCTACCTTGTTACACGAATGTTGTTTGTGGCTCAAGATGACTTTATGTCATCCATAAGAGAAGCATTTGACATATGTTTCACATATTACAGCCCAACAAGTTACTTATAGCAGTTTAAATACGAGCAATCACTTTTTGGCAGACGATCACTTTTTGGCAGACAATCACTTTTTGGCACAGCACCGGCATCATCAGGAGGAGTCTTCTGAGCTTTGTTGTGCTGGTACAGATCCCTGACCTGGAGCGGAGTCCGGATTCCTGCAGTGTGGATCTGGAAGCGGGGCGTGGTTTAGGCGTGTGCGCGTCATACTTCAATAAAAACGAACAACGGGCGCGCGCTCACGCGAGGAAGTCCAGCCGCGAGACGCAGACAGCATCTCAGCAGGTACGTGATCGATGATCGATATTTGTTTCATTTCACACTCTGCTGTGATTGTCGTCATCACTGGGTGCTACAGGTGGGGCGCGCTGCGACCGCTTCACAGTTTAATACAAGTTCAAATAGACTTTAAACTCTCAGAGTGAGCGCAGGTGTATCTCAGACTGAACGGCTGCTGCGTGATGCACTGAAAGCTGAAGCTCTTATTATCATGTGTGCTCAGCTGCATGCATCACACCAAGTTTAGTTTTTGGTCATTCAGTCTGTTAAAGCGCATCAGCACAATGTAGAAAAGCATATATGGGACATGCAGCTACTGAGAGTGTGCTCTGTGAACACTGACTTCAGCAGCTACACAGACGTGCAGCGTTTTCACCAGGCTGACTCGTCCGTATCTCACTGATTTCAATAATAATAATAATGCTGTTTGGAATAATGGATTGCATTTATAACCAACTTAGTAATAAATTCCTTGTATACATAGACACCATGTTGCTGTTGCACTGCCGGTTTCCGCTATATTCGCCGCACATCGGTGGCACACAAACAGCGA